TGTGTGTGTGTGTGTGTGTGTGTGTGTGTGTGTGTGTGTGTGTGTGTGTGTGTGTGTGTGTGTGTGTGTGTGTATCGTTTTCCTTTTATAGCAGTATTGGGTAGCCATTAAGGCAGCTGCTTCCAGCTGAGTTTCTCTGTTCCACTGACCGTTTGTAAACTGCACAAATCCATCTCTTTGTTTGTGTTTCTGGTTTTAATTTGTCTCTTTCAATTTGCTCTCTTCTCCTCACGTACCTGTTGTTCGCGTCTCCTCTCCTGTCCTTTAACCCTTCCCCTCGGTCGCCTCGTCTTCCCGCAGCAACAACAGCCCCCAGGTTTCTGTTCGTCTCCCCGTTCCTCCTCTCTGACCCTGCTTTGGCACGGCAGCCTGTCATTAGCTCTGAGCTCAGACTCGTGGCTGACTCTGGAGCCGCGTCCATTTTCTCTGAGGTTTCTTCTCAAGCGCCTGCCTCTCAGCGTGCTCGTGTTTTTTTTCTTAATGTGAGGTTTGTGGGGGGAAACGATACAAAACCGATCAATAAAATTGCACATAGCCAATAAAATGCAAATATTTTGGTTTCCCAAACCTGCAGCCATCCTCGTACAAAAACGGAGCTCATTTTTGAGTGTAGAAGTTGAGAAAATATAAAATAAGAACTACGATTAAAAATATATTTTTAATCAAAAATTTAAAGTGTCTGTGACATGCATATTCTCTGAATAAAAAAGTCAAAGAAAACATCTGGAATATATTGATGATTAACCCATTTTGTCCCATAACTGGCCTATTTTCTTTTGAACTTGGTTCAGCCAAAGTGAAACAGGAAGTGACATCAAAGGGGAAGTCTTTAACAAAGAAAATTCTCTGGTCTTTGTTTATTGAAACAATATGTGAGCCATCACATCGAAACGAGGATTAAGTCTAAAAGTTGTTTGTGGAGAAATGGGCAGATGTAGTGTTTTGATTAAAATGCTTGCAAAAAATACATTTTGACAAAATATAAATGTTATAAATGTATTATTTCAATAAAAAGTCTGAAACATAATCCTAAAAAAACTTTTTGAAGCACTTTTTTGAGCATTAGCAACAACAAAAAAATGATTTTGAGAAGAAAAAAAAACGCCTTAAAATGTTGAGATTTTCCCTGTGAGCTAGCAAAGCTTTTGTTTCTTTCCAGCTGGTAAATCTCAATATTCAAATACTATTAAAGGTTTCTTTTTTAAAATGACACAAAAAAATCCTCATTAAAATTACATAAAATTGGGATTTAGACCAAATATTTATGTATTATTGTAACCAATAAGACAAATGAAATATTATCTCTGGATCTACTAATGATATCAGGATGATCAAAGTGTCAAAATGTAGCTTTTAAAGCCAGGAATCTGAAAATAGGATTAGATCATTTTCACCTAATTTGACCTAATCCTCATTTCGATGTGATGGGTCACATATTATTTGAACTCTGACTCTTTGTTATCTCTCTGAAACTGACTCAAAATCATCTAAAGAAACATCAGATTATTCTCTACAGGCTGGATTGTCAGCCATTTCAGCAACACTCTGTTCACATGCAGACATTCCCCTTTGACATCACTTCCTGTTACTTCACAGGCAAATAAATCAACAACTGTTCATCTCAGCGATATCAAATTAATTTTGTAATATTTTATCAATGTCCTCTTTCTAAAAATGCATTCATATGTATTACAAAAATTTGACGTCACAGGCACTTTAATTATCTATATATAGTTTTTTTTTATTAAATCCACTACATCTGTTTTTTTGAATGTAAATGTTGGGGCCATTTTGTCTCAAGATAAACTGCAAAATAAAACTAAGATCACAAAGAAAGATTTTCACAGAGCAGAAAAAACCTGCATTATATTGATTCTTGTATACAAAACTTAACTAAAATAACTTATAGTAATTAAAATAGAAAACCGTTTGGGCTTAAAAAATGAATGAACCAATTGGCTGGCCCAACTTTGGTCACTCACAGGCCGAATGTGGCCTGCAGGCCGCCAGTTAAATAGCCGTGCAGTATACTATAGTAATGCCTAATATTAGTCTCTTTACTTTTTGTCTTTACTCCATAAACCCCACAGCTAGCACTCGCTGTTAGCACAGATGGACCACAATGGAAATGAGTGTTTCTCACTTTCTTACTACTACAAGAAGCTGGCAGCAGCTGGAAGCAGGAAGTGTCTGCAGAGCGGACCTGGCTCACTCTGCCTGTCTGTCCTCTCCAGGCGTACCCGTCTCTGAAGCCCCTGGCAGCGTGGACCTGAGACCTGTGCCAGCGAGTCCATCAGTTCTCTCTCTGGGCGCAGACGGCGCAGCCCCCCGTCCAGTTCTGGCTGTCCGGCTTCACCTTCCCCAACGGTTTCCTCCCCGCCGTGCTGCAGACCAAGGCCCGGCAGAACAACGTGAGCACTCTGACTTCACCGTTTTATTATTATTTATCTGCTCAGTTTCACGAGTCCATCCAGGTTCAACAAGCGAGTACAGATTAGATTTCACACAGGGGAGAATACACACAGGAAAACACTGAGTTTGGTTTGCAGATATGCACTGCACTCGTCCGCTGTGGGGGTTTGGCAAACAGCTCATCTCTCACTCCTCTGAGCACCAAGTATTAATGTGAGCCTCCTGCAGAACGCTGGCAGCTCAGACCTGCAGCCGTTTGACACATGACTCAGTTCAGCTCACACACACGCTCCCACCTTTTATAAATAAACAGATCTGCTGAGGAAAGCTGGAAACACACAGGATGTGATGGTTGTCAGTTATTTTATGAAGTCACACACACTTTTACAGAGTATAAATAGAAATACTGTATATGAATGTATGTGTATACGAGGACCTGTCTGGCTCATTTTATAGGATTTTATGTCAAAATAATCCAAATGTAATGCAGTATAAGATTTAAGTCAACATTCAGTGTTGTATAAAGTACCACAAAGTGATACTTGAGTGAAAGTACAAGTATCTTACCAAAAAACTGACTTTGGTAAAAGTTAAAGTTTCCTTTAGGAATATTACTTGAGAAAAAGTCTTAAAGTATCTGATATTTTTTGTACTTAAGTGTTAAAAGTAAAAGTATTGATTTTAAAAGAGCAGTTAGATTTTCTGTAAGGACATTTATTAGGAGGTGACCTCCTCACAACATGCAGAAATGACTGTTGTATTAAAAGAATGAATGGATGTTAAATTTAGGATGCACTAGTCTCGCTGTTTCAGTTTATATACATATTTGATATATGTATATATACATATATACATATATCAAATATGTATATATGTATATATACATATATGTATATATACAAATACATGCCTTTTCCCCAAAATGAAAATCTGTCTGTGGGCTGCGGCCAAATGCAATATTATTCATAAAATATAAATACTTCTTAAGTACAGTCCTTTTATTTTAATGATTTATACTTCTCATTCAACCATAATTAAATTCACTCCATCTAGGAGGCACAGTTTGTATGGATAGTATTTATATTTATTATTTGCAATAATAAAAACTGGAATAAAAACAAGCAAAAATAAAATAAAAGCAACGACTTTCTACTTCTTGCCTTTTCAAAAAAATGTAAGGAGTAGAAATAAAAAGTAGGCTGAAAAATAATTACTAAAGTAAAGTACAGATACACAAAATTCTACTTACTGTATTTATTCAAGTATAATATTAGAAATTTTAACCCTAAAAGTCATCCATAAAGTGTGTGTGTGTGTGTGTGT